AATCAATAATATAGAATGAAAATTTTCTTGGGTCTTATTAAATTGAAATTTTAGCTATATTTATTTTCTAACTAACTAGTAGACTTTAATTAATTAAGTAAATAATCAATAGCCAATAGACACTGTACTCTTTATGGAAATTCATTTTGCCTATTTAACATTTCATTTTTAATATAAAATCAGTTAAATTAAACTGATATAATATTAGTAAAGTAAATGTTTTAATTATTTGAAGAATTGAATATAAATATTTATTTTTATTATTATGGTTTTATTGATAACAGATTTATTTAATTATTTTTTCAAAAATAATCTTTGAATAAAAAAATAAAATATTTATTCTTCAAAAATTTAATCATAGATTAGTGATAAAATATATTAGTATTTGAGAATTAATATTATTTTGTTAAAAAAATATTTATTAATAGCAGGTGAATGTCTGTGTCAATCTTTAAATACTTAAAAGACTTGGAAAATAAAAATACCCTTAGAGCAGCTATTATTTACATAACAGTTGCTTACTTTTTTCATGCTTTGTAAATAAAATTTTTTAAATATGGTCACTTTAACATAGTTCCATAAAGTCTATTTTTGAGAGCATTATTATGCTTAATTGTAATTTTTCTCTTTCAATCAAAACAAAAATATTATCCTAAGGTTAAAACAAAGTATTTAATAAAATCATAGTTTCTCAGTGCTATTGGTTCATCCATTTATTTTTATGGATTAAAATATATCTCTATTTCTGAGGCAGCAATCTTGTTTGCCACAAATTCAATTTGGAGTTAATTAATTGTTAGCTTTATGAAAAGAGAACATATTACTAAATCAAGGTTTATAAATTCTATAATTTGTATTGTAGGAATAACTTTAGCATCAAATCCTACGATAAATGTTGAAGATCCTTTTATGCATATTATAGGATGTTTAAGTATATTAATTTGTAGTGTTGTCTAATCGATCTCATATATTACAATGAAATAAATTGGATCTGAGGTTTCATCATCAGTTGTCACTTCATATTACTAAATTATGATCATTATAACATCAAGTTTATGGCAACAATAGATATGTAAATTTGAATATTTTACAGGATATTGGTTTTATTTATTTGGATTTGCATTTTTTACTCTTTTAGGATAAATGCTTTAATTTAGAGCATAAACTATGGTGACTTATGATAAGATATGCAATTATACTTATTCCTAATTTTTATATGTGATTATTATAGATTATGTACTCTTTAGAAAAATATTAAGTTAAAATGGTTTTATCGGAGGATCATTAATTCTCTTTGGAGTATTTAAATAATTATCTGATGATAAAAAACTTAGAGGATGACAATTTATTACATAATAATATATTCTATAAATAAATTCTATCAATTTATTTAATTTATTCCATACACTGTAATTAAGTTCATTAGCCTAATGAAGAGTTTTATTTACAAATATAGCTAATAATTAGCTTAAATATTAAATAGTCTTCATATTGCTTTTAGAACTGATAGGATTTGCTTTCCATTTTTATTTAATTCAATTTCATGAAATTAAACAGACAAAAATAACAAATTAATATTTTAAAAATGTATAGAATAGATATGAATATGCTGATTTTATTAATCACTTTTAAATGTTTTTCATAACATTCCTCTTTCATATATCAGCGGATATTTTTAAGCATTTATTTTATTAAAAAAAGATTTAATTCTTATATTTCAATATCTTAAACCATTATTAATATCAAATATATTTTAAATTAGTTTTTTAATTTTTGTTATCAATTTTGATACCTCAATTTTAAATATTATATGATCAATTTTTAAAATGCTATTTTTTATCATTAATAATGTTTTTATTGATGACTTAGTTTTTTTAATATCCTGTCATATTAGAAAAAATTTTACTATTCTAATTGATATGATAATTTTAAAAGGATTCTTTTATTAGCACATTAAAAATATTCTTATTCAGTTAATAATGGCTCTTACTAATTATTTTAATTTATTTGATGAAAATAATTTATTTAGATAAGAGAAAGATCATGTTCCATTCAAACAAATTGGATATTGATTAGAGGCTTCTTTTTCAGAAGATAAAGACATAAGAATTTGAACAGAACTACTTGGGATTCTTGAGGTATTCCCCTCATTTAATTTAGATGATATAAAATACTTAATTTAAAATTCTTATAAGAATGATTAATTTTTTATTGAAAAACAAATTTTTTTATGATTTGGATTAATATTGCAATCTTTTTTAATTTTAACTGAAAAATTTAATAAAGCATGTTGAATTGAATTTAAATAAATAAATCAGTACTTGCTTATTTATTTTTTTAAATTATTACTAACTCAAAATTTAGTATAAACTTGGACTAAATAAACAAAAGAATCTTCAAAGAAATTGTTTTTTAATTCTTAAAATTATAAATCTAAATGGCATAGCAGAAATTATAGTTTCAATTATTATTAAAAGTTTTATGCTTATATCAAAAATTACGGACTTTGCATTTTTCATTTTCCAGCATCAATTAATTGATTAGTCCAAATTATTACTATTTTTTTTAGCTAAAATTTCATCAAAATCGATCATTTTGGCTTCTAAAATCTAAAGCTACATTCAAAATAAGCAGATAATTGTAATTAAATGAAAATAGTTTCTTTATTATTAAATCCTAATCCTTTATTAACTAATAGAGTTTTTAATACCTGATATCTGAAATGAATCATTAAAACAATTATTATAATTAAATTAATCACAAAAAAAAA